GCCCGGTAAGCGGGGGTGCGGGTGGGAGTCCCGCCTGGGGCGAAAACTTGTTCACAGCCCAGCTTTATTGTAGAACTGAATAGTTACATGGCCCTAGTGAGGGGAAAAAGTCTTTGGGGGTAGGTAACGATCAATACCTATCTAACAGAGCCTGTAACTAGGGCGACCAACGATCGAGGATCCCTCGGTAGGGGGTCATATTTTCTTTGGCCGAAGGAGGGCAAAGGTATTTGGAGCAGTGGGGGCATTTGAGTATATAGCGTATTCGGAACAGTGAGAAATAGCGGCAAGGTATCCTTCTTGTCCCAGTGGTTACATATCCCGACGCCAATTTCGGTTTAGGAAGGAGTTTCGGGGGGGGGGGGAGGGAGAGATAGAGTTGGAGATGGGCCACGTAACACGAGAATCAGCAACACGGTTGAGGTCGTGAATTATAGAAGATGGGAGGGGATCGTCTATATCACAGTGGTAGGGAAGAAGCAGTACTGACTCAAACTTCCTCGACAAGTTTTTCCCCCTTGTTGTTACTGGCCCAGAAGTCTGAGAGCAGAAGAATGTCCCTGAAAGCGGTTTGTAGCCAGGAAGGACCATTAATCTATGAAGTGTAATGAGAAAGAAATCCTGAGGTATAACCCCATATTTTCACTTGCCATGGTCCAAGGGAACGGTCCTGGACGAGGGGAATGGACTTTTTGCCTAAACCTAAGGGTGGAGGGGCTCCAGGGTGGATGACCTGTGCAGAAAATTGGGTGGGATGTGGGCAAGGTGTGTGTCATGAAAGACACTCACTGGTCTTTATCAAAAGCACACTTCAAATGAGCTCTTCACGCATACTCTTATCCTTGTATTCACCGGGGTAAAAAAGCCGGAGAAGTGCTTTCCAGCACTAACGATAAGGATAAGCTTGCAAGGAGTGCTCCCCCCAAACTCCATTTCCACCCTCTCAGTCTTACTAATCAATAAAAATGGATCGTCTTTTTGTAAAAAAAAAACTTTAACAAATTTAGGTGTAATATTGAACGTGTGCTGCTTACTGGTGTTTGTCTCACTTCGGACTCATCCACTAGTGCCGGCTCTCATCGTGCTCTCCGTGTGTGACCTACTTCAACTCACACTTACAGTATTCGTGCTATTCATTCCAGCACTTCACGACTTCACTAACGCCGAACGCTTCGGTGCCTTAGGTATGGCTTCTAAGATTTCAGCACTGATTACGTAGAGACCCCGTCAAAGCTGTAGGCGGAATTTTGCGATCCTTGGGTCTTGTGTCCTCAATTCTTGGAGTTAGAATTCTTTATTCAGTCAGAATTTCAAAATTCACCGGATGGACAAAAATCAAATTCTTTTCAGGACAAATAGCCTACTTATCGACAGGTCTGCTGTCACCTCTATTATTAGCTTTCAATTGTGCGAGTATTTGGACGATCTGTTACATCTCAGTAAAACGCCATAAGGTTTGTGCATTTTTTTTCCTGTGTTCAATTCAACTTGCCAGTCAGGTCGGTTTATAAAGCGGTTCATATGAATAATCGATCAATACTATGGTGAGCAAATAGAAAGCAGGGGAGTGAAAAATTGTGACGTTGTAAAGAACTACTTGGAATGAACTGACGACCTCCATACCTTTCCTTCAAAAAGCGAGAAAGTGTTGGGTGCAGACCATGCACCACAAGTGACGACGGCCTCACAAAATGTTAATGTTTTCCGCCAATGAAATGATTAGCCTGTTGCAGTTTTGTTTTCTATCGATTGTCACTAATTACAACTATCATTTATTTCATTAATTTTACCAGGAAATCGCTAACCACTATGAACATCGTCTGACCAATAGTTTATGGGGGCCGTCGTCGCAGTTGGTGGTGTTTGTCGTGCACGGACATTGCTCGCTATTCTTTGAAGGCGGGTTAACGAGCCACTGATTCCGTCCTTAATTATGGGACAGTTACTTTTCAATATTGGCGTTCAAGTTTATGATGCCCTGATTGATTATGAGCAACGAAGATTGACAAGGTGCGCGCTATGTGCAGGCTGCACTGTCAAGTGAAGTGGGGTGCAGCAAAATAAATCGCAGTACTTGGCTGGACACCTTTGCGGAGGAAATCTTTTGTTTGTCAGATGTATTGAGTTTTAGCTGATCTAGATGCCGAAACGGAGCGAATATTTCACCCGAAACGTTACAAATTGCTTTTTTCGTCGCTGGTGTTATCTTATCTGTCTTCTTTCATTCATTTTTCTTCGGGGCAGCGATTTGCCTATTAAGTGAACATGTTCTTTATGATAACAGACCATTCTTGCAGGTTTACGAGCGTTTCATTTTTACTGATTTTAACCTTATGTGCTTGCTTTTCTTTAGTGATTTTTGAAGGGTTTGATCATTTTGGACTTTCCAACTTTCCATGCAATATATTGCAGCAGTGTTTAAAAGCAAGGCCCGGTCTAAATCTAGTACGTTGAAGCGCTTCATTGTGATGACTGAGCAGGGCTGTGGCCTGAAAGTGGTAAGGAAAGCAAGAAAAATTCATCGAATTACTAAATGAGGGTTTACCAGTAAGTCGATTGGGACATGAGAGGCAATACCATGAGAAGACAACACGCAGAGAGCATGTGTCGTAAAGGAGAGTGCTGATCTCAACATATCCCGTGAGAACTGGGGCAGCGCTGGAACGATCCTGCAATGAAATGTAAACTGATTCTGAAGGGAACAGAGATGGTGTGATATAGGGTGGGACTACAAAGACTCAGTGTGAGCTTCGTTTCGCACGGGCCCTTAAACGCAAAGCCAAACGTTTTGATATGCAATTATCCTATCCCTAGTTGTATCAGTAAGGAGAGGAGAAGATAACGACTTGGGCGACTAAATATATAAGTAAGTAAAATTGAAAAAAGAGCAGTCCAAGTCCGGAACGACTAGCGCCCTAACTACGCATTTTGTGCAGCGTAGCTGGCACGGCACCTTTCGGTTCGGACCCAACCCGTTTACCCGCGACGTGGCTCCTACTAGTAGGGCTCATCCCGGGGTTTGCCTTGTGTTTGACCCGTGCGCGGAGGAGAGGAAGGTTGCAAGTGCGTAGATCGAACCAAGTCAGATGGATCTATTGACACAAGCAACCTAGGCAGTGAGGAAGGAGTAGATTCTGTATGTAGAGATTCGAAGTTTCTCAGGTGCTATGGTTGGCTCTGCTCTTGACTTTCTCAGGATGAGCGAGCAAACAAAGTGTTAGGAACTCCATCATTAACAATTCCGCCTGAAAGAATAACGGAAGTTTTCACAATGGTCGATTCACCATAACCTTTTCGCTCTTTCTTTAGCTGGGAACTATTGAGAGGATCCAAATCTGATTAAGGCGACTTGAGGGCTTCATTGGCCGTTTTGGTCGTGAAACCATTTATCGCGCTAATTGCCTTTGCGATGCCTAAAGAAGTGGCCAAAAAACGGTTATAAACGGAGATTCAATGAATCCTTTCAGAGAAAGCGCTGCCCGAATAAAAAACTGATCCATGAAGTGGCAGATAGTCTAGGTCTCGATCAGGGAATTCGATCCTCAACTCCTACTTCTCTCCGTCTGTCGCATCACTAAAAAGCGCAATTATGACAAATCGCGCGTTTGCGCAAGATATCGGTCGCCTTGCTTAAGACTAAGTTAAGAGGACATGTACATACGGGGGAAAACGAAAATTGCTAAACTGCATCTGAGTCTTCCTCCCCCCCCCTTGAGACTTAGGCCAGTTTTTTGCAATAAAAGATTTTTCACGCGGTTTTAAATGCACTGCACTATGCCCCCGCATCTTGTGATAGCGCCAATAACTCTCATTTTGCATTTCAGGCCATCCTTCGACCGTTATCGTCAATTCACGCACCATCTCGGCCGTTCTCTCCACTGTTGCGAAGTCGCCGCCGCTGCGCTCATCTTCAACGGCTCAAAATGGGCTGAGTTCCGATGGCTTTGGATTGATGTGGAGGTGGACAATGTGACACGCATGTTTCTCGCCCATGAACCTTCAGATCTCGCCTATAATGAGACCTACAGGACAATTAGTAAGTAAATCTGAAGAATTTAACTGACTTGATTAAACTTTATTTCGGAAAACCAAACGCCTCGAGCCAAAATTTTAAAATTCAGCTTATTTATTTATTTATTAATTTATTTTATGCTTAAGAATGCGCCGTGAAAAAGAATAAATCTAGCATGAGATAAAAGGGATTTTTTAAACAAGAACTGTAGAATACTAATAACAAAGCATTCAATCTAAGTTGATTCAACGCAAAATCTTGTAAACAACTAGATATGTCGAGAAATAAACGGGAAGGCCTGTAGGCCTCTGGCGCGTGCGTCAATACAGGTTGGCCAAAAAGTGACACTTTGCCATAGCGCACACCACGAAGTTTTCGTGCTCAACAGGGTGCCCGATGTTAAGGAACTTTTACAACAGAATATCCCTTAGATGTCCTACCATGAGCGGAAGCAGGATCTCTTTCACTGCCACTCCCGTCCTCACAATATGACGTCATCTCCCATCAGCTTGAGAAGTTGAGCTTAAGAAGACCTAGCGTAATCGTCATCCTGAAGCTGCTACGAAATTTGTTTAATCGGTTCACTGACATATTGCTTCGTAGGGACAGTAGAACCTGAATATGCAAGACCTCTTCCGACCAGCTCAGATAACGTCGCAATGGTCCATGATCCGTCGAGAACCAGTTGAGCTCGAACCGTGCACAAGGTTCCCATGGCAAATTGTGATGTCCTTGGTGCAGAAGCTATTATAATGTTTATTGATAGATTGGAATGTGCTCTTCAACTAACTAAGTTGGGAGCAGTCGGTTTGAGTTTAGCAAAGTGTGATTAATGCTGTCTGAAATGTGGAGTGAAGTGTCTCTTTTTTGGCCACCCCTGTACTTACAAGGAGGGTCTTTCAGGTCATGGAGCGCTTTTCCAAAATGGATTTCCTGCACTTTGTAGAGGACTCATGCGAGGAACACAAAACCATGGTCCATTTTTCCTGAACACTTCTGGGAACCTCAAAACAGTGGTGAAGAAATGGTCCAAAGTTCAATCCCCGTGGTGACAAATTTTTGCAATCCATGTTGGAGCCTCCAAATTGTCGCCAAATTACGAGGATGACATGTTAATCGACGCTGGTGCCATTTGGACACAATTTGGAGGCGCCAACATAAATTGCAAAAATTAGACATCACGGAGGATCGAACTTTGGACCATCTCTTCTCCACTATTCTGACCTTCCTAGAAGCGTTCAGGAAAAATGGACCATGGTTTTGTGTTCCTCGCAATCTCCTCCTCGTCTCTACAAAGTAGTTTATTTTTTACTGTATTTTTTGAAAAATGCTGCTTATACTGGTTGATCTTTGGTGCCTAATGGGATCATAGTTAAATT